TGTGCATTAAAGGACGCCATCAAAAAAGTAAAAAGTTGCCGAACCGGTTTGGCTCAGTGGATAGAGCGTCGGCCTGCGGACTAAAGGGTCCCAGGTTCGATTCCGGTCAAGGGCATGTACCTCAGTTGCGGGCACATTCCTACTGGGGGGTGTGCAGGAGGCAGCTGATCGATGTTCCTCTCTCATCGATGTTTCTAACTCTCTATCCCTCTCTCTTCTTCTCTGTAAAAAATCAATAAAATATATTAAAAAAAAAAAAAAACAAACCAATCCATGAGCTTTAAAGAAAAAAAAAAAAAGAAAAAAAGTAAAAAGTTACCCTAGCCGGGTGGCTCAGTTGATTGGAGCCTCATCCCATGTACCAAAAGGTTGCAGATTTGATTCCTGGTCAGGGCACATACCTAGGTGGCAGGTTCCATCACTGGTCAGGGTGCATACAGGAGGCAATAGATCAATGTTAATGTTTCTCTCTCTCTCCCTCTCTCTCACTCTCTCTCTCTCTCTCTCAAGTCAATTAAAATACAAGTAAATAAAAATGCTAACGGGACTGCTGTAATGAGAAGAAGAAATAGAGAGAGAAACCTAGGCATACAGAATTAAAATGGCAATAAATAAGTACCTATCAATAATGACCCTAAATGTAAATGGGTTAAATGTTCCAATCAAAAAGCATAGGGTAGCCAAAACCGGTTTGGCTCAGAAGATAGAGCATCGGCCTGCGGACTGAAGGGTCCCAGGTTCGATTCCAGTCAAGGGCATGTACCTTGGTTGCAGGCACATCCTCAGTAGGGAGTGTGCAGGAGGCAGCTGATCGATGTTTCTCTCTCATTGATGTTTCTAACTCTCTCTCTCCCTTCCTGTTTGTAAAAAATCAATAAAATATATTTTTAAAAAAAATAAAGCATAGGGTAGCTGAATGAATACAAAAACATGACCCAACTATAAGCTATCTACAAGAGACCCACCTCAGAACAGAAGACACATACAGGATGAGAATGAAGGGATGGGGAAAAAAAAATTCATGCAAATGGAAAAGAAAAAGAAGCTGGAGTAGCAATACTCATATTCGACAAAATAGGTTTCAAAATGAAGGCCATCACAAGAGATGACAAAGGTCACTACATAATATTAAAGGGATCGATCCAACAAGAGGATATAACCCTGGTAAACATATATGCACACAATTTAGGAGCACCTAAATATATAAAAAAAACTTCTAGAGGATTTTAACGGAGAGATCGACAACAATACAGTCATAGGAGGGGACTTTAATACCCCCTGACTTCACTGGATAGATCTTCCAGACAAAAACTTCACAAGGAAACAGTGACTCTAAAGGACACACTGGATCAGATGGATTTAATTGACATTTTTTTTTTTTAAATATATTTTATTGATTTCTTACAGAGAGGAAGGGAGAGAGATAGAGAGTCAGAAACATCGATGAGAGAGGAACATCAATCAGCCGCCACCTGCACATCTCCTACTGGGGATGTGCCCGCAACCCAGGTACATGCCCTTGACCGGAATCGAACCTGGGACCTTTCAGTCCGCAGGCCGATGCTCTATCCACTGAGCCAAACCGGTTTCGGCTTAATTGACATTTATAGAACATTTCACCCCAAAGTTGCAGAATATACATTCTTCTCAAGTGCACATGGATCATTCACAAAGATAGACCACATGTTAGGACACAAAGCAAGTCTTACAAGTTCAAGAAGATTGAAATCCTGTCAAGCATCTTCTCAGATCAGAGTGGAATGAAATTAGAAATCAACTACAGTTGCCCTAGCTGGTTTGGCTCAGTGGATAGAGCATCGGACTATGGACCTAAGGGTCCTGGGTTTGATTCCGGTCAAGGGCACATACCTTGGTTACAGGCTCCTCCCCCGCCCAGGCCCTGGTTAGGGCTTGTGCAGGAGGCAACCAATTGATGTTTCTCTAACATCGATGTTTCTCTCTGTCTTTCCCTCTCTCTTCTACTCTCCCTAAAAATCAACTGGGGGAGGGGGGCGAGGATTAACAAAAAAAGAAATCAACTACAATAAAAACATCCAAACACATGGAGGTTAAATAGCATGTTATTAAACAATGAAAAAGATCTAAATACTCTGATAGCTGCATTTTCAAGACATACAGAGAAACACGAACATATCGATACATACAAACATTGATCTACATACATTCCTATCAGATCCTTAACCCACCAGGATGTAGCTCCTACGTGGGTGTACTGGACCTCTGGGGAGCTGTGGGTGTTTATGGACTGATGGGTCTCCCAGACAATGCCCCTCCAATCCCCGGCCTCCAGGGCACCCACCTGAATCTTGCAATACCACTTTTCGTGGGAGCAGCTTCTTCATCTGTGCAAAAAAGATGTATCAGAATCTGAAGAGAAGCCCCCACATTTCTAGGTCCACCCTCATTTAGGGGTGACCTTCCAGCTGTGTCCAGTGAGCACCATGACCCCCGACTTTGTCCAGAGTAGCCTGTCCGTCCCCTGTCTCCCTCCACATGCACACATCGGAGTGTCTAGCTCTGTACTCACTGGGGGTGGTGGGATCACAAAGTTGTCTGGGAAAACTCCTCTTCTGCCTCGAGACTCTCCTTCCCACCAGCCCTCATCCTCTGTGGTCTGGGAGAGAAAGATGCTGGGGAGAGGTGTGCCCGGTCCCCAAGCTCCTTCCTCCCCAGGCCCCACCCCTTCTCAGCACCTCTTCCCTACACCCTCCCCTGCCTGTGCCTTTCATACCTTCCTCAGTACCTTCACCTCGTCCCCCTTCCGCAGTGCCAACTCATCTGGGGCCTCCGGCTGGTAGTCAAACAGGACCCTGTAGGTCTCAGGGTAGAAGACTGAGGGGAGGTCAGTCCTCTGAAGCCAAATCCCCTCCCCAAATCAGTCTTCAGATCCCTCCTCCAGCTAGGCCCTAGCTGGATCCTCACTTCCGGAGTGAAAGCGGCTTTGGGAAGGGCTACCCAAGGGATTCTTTGGCTGGGTGCTCACCTGTCCGCAGGTAGTCTGGAGGGTTGTCACAGGTCAGGCTGCTCATCTAGTGAGGGCAGGGAGAGGGAGGAACAAGCTGAACCTCCAATCCCTCCTCCCCAACCCGTGCAGATGCCCCATGAGGAACGCCCCACCTCTTTAACCACTCCGCCCAATTTACCTTGGGAGGTTGCTGGGCATCAAGGCTGAGTGAAGGCATGCCTGGGTTATCAAGGCCTGGTGAAGGAAAGGGAGGTTAGAGGGTGTGTGTGTTAATTCATAGGTTAGGTCATAGAAGAGGTCAAAGGGGTCACAAGGTCAAGATGTGTGGGTCACAGGCTTCAGCCACTGGGAGGGTCATTGGAGACTGCAGTCTGGTCACAGGGTTTCACGGGGTCACAGGGTCCGGTCTCACCTGGGGGCCCACTGTCCAGCAACTCCACAAAGTTGGATGGAAAAGCTCCCAGCTGCCCATTCTTCTTTCCCAGCCACCAGCCGTCCTCAATCTGGGGAGGGGGAGGACACAGGGGGTTCTGGTTCTGCCCCCAAGAGTCTAGAAATCATACACTCCTGGTTCTGCCCGATTCTTTCCGATGACCCCCTCCATCCTTGCTGCCTCACTTTCCCATCTCTGCGCCCCTCACCATTCCCATCACCCACACCATCACTTCACCCACCTCCCCACACCCGTGGGTGTCCTCCATCACCTCCCTCACAGCCTCTCATCACCTTCTCCTCTCACCTCCTTTATCACTTCCACAACCTCCCCAGCTTGCAACTTCAACTCGTCTGCCTGCTCCGGGCTGTAGCTGAAGTTCACTTTGCACCATTTTGGGGAGCTCCGCGAGTTGGCAGGGCCACCTGGGATGGGAAGTGAGTGAGAACCCTGAGGCAGGTGCCCCAGTCCGCTGAGCTGGGGGAGGTGCGTAGCCCCGCCCGCTCAGGGCGGAGCATTGTGCTTGAGAACCAATCACAGGCCACAGAGCGGCCGAGCAGCTCCGCCCACAGAGACGCCCGCAGGGCAAGAGTGGGCCGGTCGGACAGCGATGGCTCCGCGCTCCAGCCGGTCGGGCTTACCTCGGCTGCGCGCACAGCGTGGTCTCGGCGCCTCTCCCGCGCCGCGCAGAGTCTCCGGGATTTCCTGGAAATGAGGGCCCGGGAGAGGGGGCTGTCAGCTCCCGAGGGTGAGGGCTGAGACGCCCCGCCAAGCAGACCTCCGGGACTCACCTGCACCAGGCGCTCCGGGAAGGAGCCACAGTGGCCCCCCAGCTCTCCGCGCAGCCAGCCCCGTGCGGGTCCCTTGCACACCTGTCGGACCACGTCCCCAGGCGCCAGACTCAGCTCACCCTCCTTCTGCGCACGGTATCCGGCGAGGACCAGCACCTCTGCGGGCGGAAGCGCGGCTCAGAAGGGCCCAGTCAAGGCCGCCTGGCCATGGCGCAAGTCCGGCTCCGTGTTGGGGAGAGCGGGGTGGTGGTGGAGGTTTTTGTTGCCATTTCCACACGGTTGTATAGAGGACCCACCCCAAACCTCCCGCACATACCCATCGCTTCCGCGACGCCCTCCAGAGCCGGGCAGGGAGGACAGAGCGATCCCGCGGGCAGCCGAGTACTGGGCTGGGTAGGCTGGGACGAGCTGTGAGACTGAATCCAAGGAGGCGGAGACACAAGCGGATAGGATAGGTCCCGCTCCAGGTGCTGAGAGTGGGTGTGGGAGAGGGGGCGGCCTGGCTCAGCAGGTTCGGCCCCCAGCCCAGGGGTGAGGAATCCAAGGTCTCCGGCCAGTGCTGAGGTTACAGCTCCCAGGTCACAGCTCCCCCAGCTGCTCTCACCTGAATTTTCAGTCCAGCTGCCTCCGGTCCTCCAAACCTTAGCCCTGAGGCTCCCACCCACCCTTGGCAGAGCCTTCCTGGCCTATCCTCTCCCTGCTGGCAAGCCTTTAGCTGCAGAAAAGGTGGGGAGAGGCACATACCTGGGTGGGGTCCCCCCTGCAGGTAGGAACCGCTCCTTGGCAGGAGGTGAGTGGAAGGGGTGGTTGTTCTGGTGCCCACAAAGCTACTTACTGCTGGTGTACTCTGCTTTCCCTGGGAGGCGGATAACCCTCCGGGCACCCGGCTAGTGCAGAGGAGGAAGAGCGCAGACTCTTCCTTTGGTTTCAGAAAACACCTCCAGATTCTCCTTTCAGTGCCTCTGCTGGCTACAGCCAGCCCAGAGCTGGCAAGGGCTGAAAGGTAGGGTCCACCTAGTGCCCATCCCATGTGGGCTAGGCTCACTTTCAGGTAATTTTTTAAAAAATGTATTTTTATTGATTTCAGAGAAGGGAAGGATAGAATCAGTGATGACAGAATCATTGACTGGCTGCCTCCTGCACGCCCCCCACTGGGAAACGAGCCCACAAGCGCGGCATGTGCCCTGACTGGGAATCGAACCATGACCACCTGGTTCATAGGTCCACGCTCAAGCACTGAGCCCGCCAGCCGGGCGCTTTCAGGTAAGCTTGCTGCTCAATGGAAAACACAAGGCCGCGTCTGTTATCCACACCCCTCGGCACCGCCCCACTACCTTGGAAGCCAAAGTCCTTGCTCATGCATGACACACCATAGTGAAAGCACCTGGTTCTCCTGGGGTGTCCGACACACAGGGTAAAGTAAAACCACTGGGAGGAGAGAGAATGCAGGCATAAGCTCCTCCCCAGGACAAGTGAGGGTGAGGCTGGTGAAGATCAGGCTGGGCTACAGTTTGAGTTGAGCCCCCAAAGACATTTTATCTTCCAGGTTCCCCGACGCTGCTATGGGAGATACCCGCCCCCACGTGCGTGTACACACACACACAGCGCGACAATGACCAGAGTCCATTTACATCTGCCACTTCATTTATTTATTTTTATTTGTAGGAGGAGTTGAAACAAATCTTTAAGGGGGGTTTCCCCTTAAACATGAATCAAGTAAAACCAACTTAACTATAGAAATGTAGCAAAGTAAGGGTAAAAGTAGCACAACAACCCAAGAGGCTAAGGTTGGGGGGGAGGGGGGGTGGAGAGGTGGGTGCAGTCCGCATATACCATATGCATAAGTGCCATATGATTCACCTGCTCAGGACCGCCTCCCCAGAAGGCAAGCACAAGGACCCATTTTAAGAGGATGTTTTCCCCCCCAAACATCTGAGAATGTTTCAACTTAAAGCTTAAGGTTAAAAAGGAAAAAAAGAAAAAGAGAACCCCACAAACCACCCAGCCATAACCACCTTCCTTAATCAATCATAGGAGTTTCTTTTCATTTTATAAAAAGATTAATAAAAAATATTGAAAAAATTATTTTCTCATCTTATATTTGTAAAGATAATAGAATTCAGAAGTTTCTTAGAAAACAGACCAGAAACCGTCACCGTTCCCACCACTGTTGCTGAGATCAGCAGGGCTAGAAAACTGGGACACCGGAGCTGCTGGTGGAGAATGGGAAGCCCAGCCCAGAAGAAATCAGAAAATATTGGGGGAGGGGGCACGTGGGGTGTGGTTAGGAGCAATACCATGTGATACATGGCTACGCAGAAAAGGGGAACACAAGGTGGTCAGAAAAGCCTTGAACTCCTCCTCTACATACAAAACCAATTTTTACAAAGATCCAAGCAGTTGGTCCCAAACTGAGATGAACACTTCAATGTTTATTCACGTGCTTTGTTTTCTCTCTTAAGAATCAAAGTTGTCCAAATTAAATCTTTCTGCTAATGTTACTATATATGCCTAAAAAAAGAGGGCTTTAAAAACCAGAAAAAGAAATTAAAAATCATCAAATTAGTCCTCTTAATTCCAAATGATATTAAATTAAGAACAAAACTGGTTTCTAAGAGGGAACAAACCAAAATCCAAGTATCGCTCTCCCCTCCCTGCCCCAGTCCCCACCCCACACACCAACAACAAATGAGAAACACAGCTAAAGCCCAATGTGCTGTGTTCTGCTCAAAAACTGGGCCTGACCCCAGGCTCCATGGCTAGCCGCCTCCGTCCAGTGGGACACTGCGCCAGGGATGCTTTCGGCTACAGTAGCATTCTGCATGGCTGGTGGGGGGATTTTCAGAATCTTCTTGGGGCTCTTCTGTTTAGTTCTTCACCAGCCATTTCCTAGCGCCTGTCCCCCGGGAAGGAGCTCCCATCAGAATGGCCCCTACTCAGTGGTGGGCTGTAAATTGTCCTTCTCTTCTCGGTTCTCTGTCCCACTCTCGTCGTCTTCAATCTCCCCTTCTTCCCCGCTGAACTTGTCATGGGCCCATTTGGGGCTGGTGCTGGATTTCCGGAACATGAACCTGCCTCGACCTCGGGGAAAGGCTCCTCGGCCCCGGCCCCGACCTCCCCACTTCTCACTGCCTTCGCCTTCACGGTCGTCATGCTAAAAGGAAAGAAACTGCCATCAATGCCAGAGTTAAAAGTAGCCAGAACCCTCTTCTCTGTACCCACCCCCAAATGTGACTTTCTCAAACCTATGTCCAGACCCCCTTTTTCTGTCCTCCTCCCTATTCCCCAATCCAAAGACACTATTGATTCAGCTCATACAGAATATTCAGTTGGGTACATTGGGAATGCTAAGGCAGTAGCTTGGGCATTATAATAATAATGATGATAAAATCTTCACTGAGCACGGAAAGACCTGTACATGCATTATCTCATTTAATCCTTACATCTACCCTATCATTATCACCCTCCACTATGCAAATGAGTAAACAGGCTTAGGAACTTTAACTCATTATTTATTTAGTACACCACCTCTCAAAGGATGGGTTTGAAAATGCCAATCACACCAAAATATTAAACTGTCTGATCTGGGTTGTCAGGCAGCTAACAGAAGAAGCAGCACTCAAATACACATAGCTACGCTACAGTTCTTCCCACCCCACCCTCAGCCAAGAACAGACAGCAAGACCAAGAGTCAATGAGTTGCTCATGGTCTCAGACTTAGTGGCCAAGTTAGGACCAGAACCCAGTTTCCTGTCTTGTATCTTCCATCTTTAGTTTTACTTAAGGAGGCCGTGTGGCAGAGTAGGAAAAACACAACCTACATCTCAAACAATCCTGCTCTGACCATTTCATCAGAGAGGAGGCATCCAATGAAAGAATGAATGAGAATTTTGAAAAGTAGGAGTCGCTGCTAAGTCATCAGCCCCATCAGAGTCTGAACCACCCACCCATGCAATAGGGGTAGGCTCCTGGGGGTCAGCCAGTGAAAGGGCCAGCTGCTTCCTACCAGGGTTGCTTGTTTACTCGGTTAAATGCATCAGGTGGGTGATGCTCCCTTAGGTGGCATGTAGGGGCAGGAAAAAGGGCTCCCACTATAGCAATCCCACTCCAGGACCTATCCTGGGCCCAGTCAACATTTCCCTAAATACAGACTCAAGGGTCCTTGAGGAGTCTCAAAGCAGCCCCAGAAAAGGGAAGGTGGCTGTGCAGAGCCATCTACACAACAGCCTGTTTCCTAGTTGTGCAAATGACAACTCAGACCCATGCCAGCCCTTCTCCTAGAAGATGGAGACTCAGCTCCAGGTTTACCTTGATCACAACACTCAGAGGCACATCTCTCTGCTTTGATCTAAGCCTGCTATTCACATAGCAAGGCGAAGAGAGTGCACTCACTAGCCAGGTATTTCAGCCTAGAAGAGCCCTAACCTGAGGGAGGGGAGCGAGGTGCAGAAGGTGCCTGGTACCTGACACTGACCAACAGCCTAGATGAGAGAAGCCCCAGTGGCATTTCATTCTGGAGACAGAGATCCTGAGCAAGTGTCTTCCTGTCCATCTTGCACCAGCAAGTGGCAGAGTGGAACTGTGGCTTAAAGGAAGGGTTACAGCTCTATCCCTGAGTAGAGACTGAAAGGAGGCCGAGACGGTGGTGGGTGAGCAATAAAACAAGTCACAAACTAAAAAGGGAAGAGCAACCCTTCTTGTTTATCCTAGAATCCATATATAGCGCAGGTGATACACCCTTGAGAGGCCAGGGCTGCCTCTTAGAGAATACTCATCGTGCCAGCACTCTACTGCCCCTCGACACATCCCCCCAGTGCAAGATGCCTCCTCACATATTCAATCAGTTCTGAACAGACCGACCATACCAACCAAAGTTGGTATCAGCTACCATGTGTGCCAAAGGCCCCGGCCCTTCCTGGTTATCCCGACACATACCAGGTAATACTTCTTGCTCTTGGGCGTGTACTCGGGGTCCCACTCCTCTTCTCGGCTTCTCTTTTGAAAATCATTGTTGCTGCTATTGTTGTTGTTGCCAGAGTAGTTGCCTCTGCCCCAGCCCCTACCTCTGGCTCGAAATTGCTGTGGCATAAAGAGGGGAAAAGGAACATAGGACCATGTCAGGGATGGAGAAAAACAATGCCCTGCATTCTGTTCAAGCACATTTCTGGCACAGAATAGTTGTCCTGCAGCCAATATGCAGGTCTACTGGTTTCTAGTCAATCCTTTTCTGTTTACCTAAGGTCTATAGCCTAGACAGAGGACAACATGGCACCAGGGCCTCCAGGCACAGCAGGAGTCAAGATAAGTTGGAAAGTTCTGAGACTAGAAGTCCTAAGAGGCATTCTGGTGTCTAGCTCAGCGATTATGATTAGTAAAATAACTACAAGTGGAAAGCCTAGGTAATGGGGAACCACAGATTCTGAGGTCTGTAGACTGGATTACTTATATTAAGGGCAAACGAACTGGCATTCTGATAATCACATAATTAGAATTGGTGGGAGCAGGAGGTTAGAGAGAAGGGGTGACGGCAGGGTCTTACAAAGGTCCCTCGAGCTCTGCCTCCTCTTTCATTTGGACCCACAAAGTCTTTGGTCCCCAGTCTTGATTTGTCAAAGCCGGTGGTGCTCTCCTCTCTCTCCTCCGTTTCTTCAGTGTACTCCTCCGCTTTGTAGGAGTGGGATGACTGGGAGGAAGAGGATGATGACCTGGACCGGTCTCGTGTTCTCCGGTGCTTCCTATGAAAACAGAAGAGCCAGGAAAAAGCAATAAACCCCTTGGCTGGGCCTCCTGAATAAGAAGCACGGGACTATCAGGAATGTGTTTGTGATGAAGGCATTGATATGAGTAACCTAAAAAAAAACCCCAATTCATCCCACCTTACCCACCCAGGGTACCTGGGGAGGTCCCAATTCTGTCAGTCATGTTCACTGACACATCTACACTTGAGCCTGTGATGAACATAGGATATACACGTAAGGAACAAAACAGTCCATGGCCTCTGGCAGCTCAGTTAATGCATATGCATGAAACAGAAAGGCAGAAGAACACTAACACTGTGCTGAGAGTCCCATGTATATGGTACTGGGACAGAAGCTTCATATATTAGCATCTGTCTGTGCTTTCTAGGACTTTATTCTCTTAGGACAAACACTACCTATCTCTTGGGGTTGCTCTAAAGATCGAACACTTTAGACTGACATAGCAGGCACACAGTAAATGGCAACTCGGAGTATTCAGTAGTATTCCCTCATTTTTCAGGTGACAGAGCTGAGCAGAACCTGGATTCAAACCTACTTCTAATTATACTACTGCTCCACATACCGCCTCACACTGAGCTCAAACAGGTTGTGTTATTAAGCACAAAATCTGGCAGAACTCTTCCCAGTTATTTCCCTACCTTCCCTTCATCTGGTGGAAATTACAGACTATAGCAAATCAGACTACTGCCATGAGTCACTGTCTGTGTACTAAAGGTCAGGGCCAGCCCTGCGTCTAGGGGAGGTTGCCTCTAAGGTGGCAAAAGGCCAGGCTCCCAGGGGTGGAAAAGGACTTACAGGAAGAAGCCAGCCAAGTGGCAGTGGCCTATCATTGTCCTCCCTTCCCTCATCCTCCTCCATTAGGAAAAGCACCTTGCCCCTCCCCCACTTTCCACATGTGACAAACTCAAGAACTTAACTATTTGAATCCTACTAGCATTTACTCATAACAAGGGAAATCTAAGTTATTGTCATAGGATTCATATAACTCAGAGGTAGAACTGACTTCTAGAAATCAAGAGGTTTCCAAAAGGCTCCAGATTTGAATCCTAGCACTGCCTCTCCATGTGTTCCAGGGGAAGAAAAAGTCCATAATCCCAACCAACCCGAAACACTTGAGAGGCTCTGCTCCCTTTCCACCAGGGCAGCCCTGAGAACTACTGTTACCACTTCCATTTCCTATTGAGGAGTAGCAGGTCCTTTATCTATGGCAGCCCTGAAACTGCTGGGGCTCC